CTTTTGGGGTAGCGGATTCTTGGGTATGTTTTCTTGTTTCCGTACTCTTAACATCTCTTAACTGGCCGCCACCTTGTTTCTCAAGGACACCACGTTCCACCTAAAAGCTGGCGGGATCGGGCTGGGCAGCCGACGCCTGTTGTGCAATTTTTCCCACCGGGCGGGACGCACAGTGCACAGTCCCAGGATTGTCAGACTTAGCTTGCCTGTTGACTTGTTTGGGGGCTCCAAAGAAATTTCTTATTTTAGGGTTTCCTTTCGGTTTTCCGCCAGGCAAACCCTGTACACAGACACTGACATCTCTTTGAGTTTATTTTACAGGAAAATCACTTGATTTTCCCTGGATTACCACCGATTCACACCCAACGGAGAGCCACTCGGTTACAGTCCAGATGTGCAATTCACCAATGACTTTGGCGCAGATATCTTGGCGTAAGGTATACCATGCTTGCAAAGGGAGGGTTCCGGTGTACCATGTTTGTCATGTTCGTGGATCCCCACCCCGAATGTATGGAAGGGGAGGAGTACGCCCAAGAAGGGGCCCTGCAACCATACATCTCTTGGTAGGGCACAAGAGTCCAAGAGAAATGCACGGAGGAGGTGAGGTATTCTTCTGTCTTTGGTTTAACATGGGCACCTTGCCCAGTTCATCTGTGTTTGTCCCCCCTTGGTGGTTTGGAGTGGTTTGGATTTGGATGTGAATCCCTGGCTTAGCGGCGTAATGGGAAGCCACCAACCACCCAATCCAAACCACTCGGGAATCAGCCCACGGGAGGGGCTGCAAGATGCCGCAAGGCTTCCCAAGCCCCGGCTCTTGGGGCAGCGCAATAACTAAGTTGTGAAAAAAACGGATTTTATTTCTCAGTTCTTAAACAAAAGGTCCGGGGGCAAAAGCAGAAATCCATCATCGCATCATGTCGGTTTTCTTCTGGAAAGACAAACACCAATTCTCCACCGTGCAGTTTCCGAAGGTGCGGATCCCGTGCCCCGGCGTGAGCGCATCGGGAGATTTGGCGTGCGGTTTTTCCCAGGCCGAACCGGACAATCAGGGGCAAGACACGGCTTGACAACAAAGTCACTCTTGAACACGAGATTTTGGGACTGGTCCAGCTTTCTGAAAGCAGTTTTGGTGGCAAGGATTCGGTGGCTTGGACCTTCAACCTACCCTTCAGAATCAGATATTGCTCATTCTTCTTGGGGTGATTCCAATTGGTAGTTTGAGGGTCTAGGTCAGCCCACGCAAGGTGCCAATGGGTTGTCTCCTTCAGTTTCTTGTGCACCATCCCAGCCAGTTCTATGCCGTCTGGTTGCCTTTTTACCACGGGCATTTGGCAAGTGATGCAGGGATTTACATGTCCAAACCGAGTACTGGGTGCTATGGCAGGTAACGGGGGCACTGGCCGGTTCAGGATGCCTGCCGCTCAAATCTCGATTATGCGCGTGCAGAACGCGCGTGTATTCAGCAAGTTTTAGGGCTCCCTATACATTATATATATATATATACATATCCCTTTTGGAGTGAATTTTAAATATCACATTTTGGACCTACTTAAAGTGAGCTTCCATTTGGCGATGTCCAATCGCAAAAAATGGGGAGCCCCAAGTTTTACCACCTTGGCACATTGGCAACCAGCAACCGTGCCGACAGGTTACATCTTGCGCCTTTGGACCCTGCCCTCTAGTCCGGCTCGGACCGTGCTCGAGAATGGGTCTATTGATTCAATGGTCGGACCACTCTCCACGGTGGGTTCCCAGCCACCCTACTAGGTTTTTAGGTTTTCAGGGTTTAGCGGTAGTTTCCACTAAACCGCTAAAAGTGAAATTAGCAGGGGATCTGGAAAAAGCACAGAAAACGGTAGGTGGACCAATGTCCACCACGTCCAACTTATCAGTTCTGACATGGTGCGCCGGCTTTGAGCAGATGTGGTGTCGCCAGCTACTTAGCATGACATTTAACATGGTGTGTCACTTTTTGGGCCCCTGGGAAAGGGTTGGTTTGCCTTTGGCGTCCCTTTAAAGCCAACCGACAAAGGGTTCCTAACAAAAGACAGACCTGTTTGTTTCTCACCTTCTGGAGAATGGCTTTTGACCTGAAATAGAAAGCAGTTTGCACCAGGACGACAGCAGATGGCACAGGTTCCTTTATTTGGGCACGGGGATGACGAAACCCAAATGGGAGCTTCGCAAAATGGTGGACCCTGTCTGGTTGGCAGTTAAATGGCAACCAAAAGGAAAACAACATGTTGTTTCCTATTTGAGAAACACCCAAGTGCGCACCAAAGTGTAAAGACCAACCCAGGCTCAAGTGCGGCTGGAGGGGGCAGACTCCATGCACAGCTTCTTCTCTGATTCGCGCGGAGAAAGAGTTGCTGACCATTGGATGCCAAATAGCCATGAATTGTAATGGGGAACCACCTCAACAGTGGTTGGTGCCAGCCAAAGGTGTCCACCAAGGGGTCTCTTATTAAATCTCACACCCAAAGAGCCCAACATGTGTGTTTTCCTTGTTCCAGACCCCTAAAGCGCCCCGTTTCCACAGAAAGATGGAGCCCCCTTCCCCTTCGGATGGATTAAAGCGGGAACAGAAGGAGCTTTGAGCACCAGCTTTGCCCAAGCCCTTTTTCGGTCACTCACTTCCCCAACGCCGACCTTTTGACCGTTTTGGTTTCCCTTTGGTCCATAGTTGGTCAAGGTCCCACAAGGTCGTTTGGGCAGATCAGGGTCAAAGATAGAACCAAACCCAGGGTTGCTCCGACAGACACCTTCCACGGTTTTCAGTTGTCCCGAAAGGCCTTTTGGACCCTCAAACTACCCAGAAGAATGTAATTCCTCATCATTTTGGGGAGCATCACATGTTTATGGGTCGTTTGAGGACATCCAGAGCTTTCCAAGCCAAATTGCAACCCCCGGAAGGCAGAATCGATTTTGATGTGGGGGTTGTGCCCTTTTAGTGGGGGTTGTGCCCTGTATGTGTGTGTGTGTGTGTGTGTGTTGTTGATGGTAACATACTATTGCTGTTCTTGGCATGCTTTTCAATAGGGTCTCAAGACCTGATCATCTTGGGTCTTTGGCAGCCCTGCGAGGCTGAGCTGGACAGCGACAGCAGTGAAAGCACTTCGCACTCCGACATGGACGCCAGGCGCGGCATCAAGTCGGGACGGCTTGGGTCCGTTCGACGAACCAACGTCCCCAGTCCCCTGAAGGAAGCCAAAGCCAGCACGCCACTTTGATCAAATCTGGTCCGAACGCCTGTGGATGGACGAAATCCTGCACGGTGGGATGTGTGAACCCCTGTACATGCTCGGACAATCTGGTATTTTACGGTACTCTTTGCGTCCAGAGCCCTAGCTTTGCAAGCTTTCTGACCATGCATTTGCCAAAACACTGTAAAGTGTTTCTAGTTATTCTATTTGGACCCAAGACAGCAACACAACAACCAAAACACAGCTTCAGAACTCTGGCTTTTGATGGTTTCAACCTAGACTCCAGAGCCCCAACAACATGCTTCAAAGCGGCTTGAAAGCCATTTGGATTCAAGATTTAATTCTTCACATTTTCATTCTTGAATTCTGGAATGTTTCAAGAGTTTCAGGGCTTTAAGTCTCGAACGGAAATTGAACTTTGAAGATTAAATGTATTGGTGTATTGCTTTGATTATACTCATTCTAGCAACATAACCTTTGGACTGAACATGTGTCCACCAAGACAATTTAACATTCACAATGTCATATGTGTACATAGTTATTCAGGTTGACCTCCATGCCAACACGAGCCGACAATTGATCAAGTATGGTATGATTAGTTTGCTAACGTGCAACTTGGAAAAATTACAATTCTTTCGTGTTTGTAATTTGTACACGATTCTGACTTAATTAACTGGTTCTATATTTGTCCAAATCTTATTTCTGGTGAAGACCACCATGTCATTATTTTGAATACCACAGACTTCAAGGACATACCGCGTTAAGGCACTTTTGGAACACTGTTGGGTCACTTTTGCATCTACCCGTTGTTCAGTGGCCTTCCCATTGAAAATGAACCCCAAAAAGGATTTGAACTCTTGCATCAGGGCTGAAGAATTGAGTCTCCTTCTCCTGAATTCCGAAAGGGATCACCCAAAAGGGGCCATGGCCCCCTTTGAGGGTCAGAGGTACGGCAAACACGGGACCTCCGTCGGGAATTCTCAGCTCCAGGCCTGCCGCGTCCCGGCCCAGATGCCGCGGCGGCCTGCTGCAGAGGCTTGCCGAGCTGGCGCGGCGCGAGAGGCCGCTGTGGGGAAAAAAGCGCGCCACTTGGGGCTGTGGGTTTTGGCAAAAGGGCCAGGAAAACGAAAAACGGGTAAACGTCCTTTTGGCTTCAGTTTGAAACAGGGCTCCTAAGATACATGTTGCCCAGTTGAAACGTGGCTTTTTCCACCAACAGAAAGGGACACCACCATTTACAAGGCAATGTTCAGGTGTAGAATGTAAGGATCCCTGTGAAATCAACCGCTAGGGGTACCCAGAAGAAAGACGATGCCATTTAGAGTCCAGGCTGTGAATCTTAAGAGTTGAAACCTAAATGATGTCCACCAAACAGCCCCCCATATTAAGATTCATACCCGTTTGAGCCATGTCTGCAAAACCCCGGTCAGAACAGGTCAAGGGAGAGCCCCAGGCAGAAATGAAACAGGTGCGCCCGTTTGAGTCTGCACTTGGTTCTGGGTAGACCACTTTAATAAAGGTGTTGATTTTAATCATTTGGGTTTGTCTCTAAATGAGGGACGACTGCAACGTGGGTACCCCAAGAAAAGCAAATTGTACTGGGTGCTACATAGGATTGTTTCCTCATTTGTCGAAACCAAACGTCCAATTCTACGGATTCGGATGCGGATCCGGTGACAAGTGGACACATGGTAGTAGCTTATAAAAAATCAATACCGCAAGAGAAGGATGTTGCAAATAGACCCCCCACGCGTCCATCAGTGCCCTCAAGAAGGCGAAGGTCTTATACTTGGAAATTCACTATGTTGTGTGTGTGTGTTTATGAAATAAAAGGCGCCTTTGGTGGACTTCCAGACTTGAAACTTGTGGGAAGAGCATTTTAAGGATCAACAAAGTGTTGCTGGCTAGTCCACTTTAGGAGGTGGGACTTAGTTACTGGCTTGCTCAAATCAATCCTAGCGGTGTCCAATACGGACTACGAATTAGGATTGGGGATCCCCCCCTCTATGGACACCTCGGAATTTGAGCAGCCTCTAAATGCCCAACACCTAAAACTAAGAGGTTGCAAAATAGCCCCACATGTGTCCATTTTACGGATCGCCCCCATTTAAGAACAACCCCAAGTATTTCATTTGAGCCAGGTTCCGTGAGCAATGGCAGTTCCCATGGTTGGCGGGCCCCCCAAAGCCGGGAAGCCCCCCCCCCCCTCAAAAGGCAGGACGAAGAAGCCCCGATCATTAGTCGCTAGCGTCGCTAGCCCCTTATTGGGATTGGGGCGTAGGCCTTTGTCAAGGGGGCCCTTGACAACCGCAACGGTGGGTTGCGAGCGCTTTGCTTCAACTCTCTTTGGAGGGGGTCAGTTAAAATTAAATACCCAAAAACAAAAGGGGACGTTTTGTCCAATCTGGATTTAATTCCATTTGTATCCACATAATAAACCTTGTTTTCTCTGGTAACCAAGGCAGTTAGTAACCCTTGCAGAGGTTCACAGGTGAGTGAAGTTTTCACCCGCACATGTCGAGATTGGAGTACTATCGCAGGGAAGAACAGGCGGAGTCCCGAATGAAAGCCCTCCATTGGAGGCCGGACTTCAAAGAGTGAGGTGCCAAGATTCTTAGGGTAAGCACTAGGGATTGGATTAGGATTGGCTAAGCCACGATTTTCAACAGCAAAGGCCGATGTCCGACTGTTCTGAGGGTTGATTTCCCATCAATCATCAAGGGTTTGGCAACCATGTGTTGAGAAGGTTTTCGTTCTTTCAGGAATGGGATCGGAAGGTGCATGGCTGGTCTCATGGGTGTGACCAATCGCCACAGGAGCTTTTGCAACACATGTTTTCCATTCAACCCACGGTGATTGACCTTTGCTCAAGCGGGCTTGGAGCAACCCAGTCAGCCAGTCAGAGGGTTCTATTTGGTTTGCATGGGTTATCCCTCTGTAAATCTTTGAGAGGATCTTTGACGACAAGGAAGGTACATCTCGAACTGAAGCCGTTCACACGATTTGTTCAGGTACGGGGAGGCCCCGGAGTTTGAGTCCGAGCAGTTGGGCCCCTAGAGAAGTGGGAGCTCCAGTGATCTTGTTCTACCACTGACTACTTTTGATGTTACTTCTTCCGTGAGACTGAGGCTCGCATCGTGCGAGTTTTGATTTAAGGTTGCCTTGTTTGGCAACAAATGTGTGCGGAAGACATAGTGAGGTGCGGAGTTTGCAGGTGTCCTAAGAACATCTCATGTGGACCAAAAGGGGAAAAGCTTAGTCGATCCCGGTGCTTTTTTGGGAGTGGGCGAGCGAGAGCCAATGAAGAGCTCGGTCGGCAAAACCAAAACCATCAACCTATCAGGGCCCTCAAGCTACCACCTGCTCCAAATATCCACTTGTTCAGGGGCATTTTGGAAATGCCCGGTTTTCCAGGGAAACTAGTACTGCTTTCTTTGTCAAGGCTGAACATCATTTGACATCGTCCTGCAAAGAGTGATCATTCTGTGCAGGGGGTACCCTTAAATAGGACATCTTCCTGTTATTTTGGATTGCAATGTCCAATGTTTGTCAGTCTGAAGGTCAAGGTACCACCCCAGTGGATTCCCGGGATCCCTCGAGGAGGTGGCTCCAATCAATCCAAAGTAGAGCGAAGCTGATCAAACTGCCTTTGGAGTCTCCACGACCCTTCCAGAATGGCTCCAGAACTCCTTTCTTTTGAGTAATGACCCTCATTTTTTGAGGGTTCATGGACCCTCAAACTACCCACAAACAAGGGGAAATCACCCAATCTATTTGGAGCAATATCCAATTTGCAGGGTATTTTGAGGGTCCAGGTTGACCATTTTGCTACCGCCGATGTCGGAGCTCGTGCTGCGGCACGTGATTTGTGGGCTTGTGATGCGTCAAAACCCCAGGGGTCCCCAAAATATTTCTGGGAGACTCCGGCTTTGGAGCGCGTGTTTCTTAGGCTCCGAAGGGCCTCGGCGGTGTTCTGCACCCTGAGCTGCGCTGGCAGGCGACGGGTTTCGATGTTTGGTACCTGGCGGCTTCTGAAGTGACCCGAATCATAAAAGGAGAGTCATCTCATGACTTTTAGGCAATATCTGTTTTTTGGGTACCTGGAGTCTCCATGAATGGGTAGCCCCATTTTGTTTAAGGGTCAGAAGGAGGAACGTTGTTTTTTTTGCCTAGCCCTGGCACAGGGCTAACCCTGGCAGGTGGCTGGTTGGTTGGTTGGTTGGTTGGTTGATTGGTTGGGTGGTTGGTTGGTTGGTTGGTTGGTTGGCTGGTTGGTTGGTTGGTTGGTTGGTTGGTTGTCTGTAGGACGAAGGTTTGGGATGGGTTTAAGGTAGGTTTAGGGTAGGTTTGGGGTAGTCCGTTTGAGGTTTTAACATCCTCAGCATCGTTTTCAACATCCTCAGCATCACCAGGCTTTGGTTTAGGTTGGGTTTTGGGTGGGTTCCAGGTTGGCTCAGGATTGGCTCTGGGTGGGTTCCAGGCCTATTCAGAGCAAATTTGGGGGTTGGTCTCGGATGGGTTTAGGGCTGGTTTAGGGTGGGTTTAAAATTGGCGTCGGCCATGGTTGTGTTTAGGCCCACTTGGGTGGTTTAAGGTCGGTGGCACCCTGCCTTAAACCACCCTAAGCCCACTTAAAAACAACCACGAAGCCAATCTTAAGCCCACCCTAAACCAGCCCTAAACCCATCCGAGACCGACACCATCTACCTCAAGCACAGCCACCCCCAAATTTGCTCTGAATAAGCCTGGAACCCACCCAGAGCCAATCCTGAGCCAACCTGGAACCCACCCAAAACCCAACCTAAACCAAAGCCTGGTGATGCTGAGGACGTTGAAAACGATGCTGAGGATGTTAAAACGATGCCAGCCCTGAACGGACTACCCTAAACCCACCCCAAACCTTTGTCCGCTAGCCTTTCGTGCATGCCAGGCTGTGCTAATGCCAGGGCTATGCAAAAAAAAGCATTTCCAGGTACCTTTTTTAGATAAAGGCGAAAGCACCATGTTAAGTTTCGTGGACCTCGGATCCTCAAGCTACCCGTAGAAATGGTTTGCGAGCCAAAATAAATCATAGGCTTATGTCCCATTTAGTGGTGTGGTTTCAACCCATCTTTGAGGGTGTGAGGGTTCAAGGGAATCAATCCGCGTGTCTTGGGACTTCAAGTTTTGCGCGTGAAACACGGACGAATATGGGAAAATCCTTAAAAATGGAAGTACCAAGGAAAGAGCGCCCCTTTCTTCCCATCAGTCTGCTTCTGAGAGTCTCATACCAGCACCCGGGTCCTGACGATTGCTTGATGGGGCTTCTTTTGAGGCCTCTTTCAGAGCTCGCCTCAGTCTAGGCTTTGAGATACGAAGTGGTCCCACCCTTTTGCCCCTTTTTAGCCAGCAACACGTTTATTTTCCTTTTGCGGGTCCAACTAGTGTTTTTGGGGCTCTGCCCTTATTTTTGAGGCAAAATGAGACTGCTGAAATTCACTTCCCAGACGGCCACAAAGCGCCGCGTTGCCCAACAGCGTGGTTCCTTTTTTCGTTGGACCCATACCAATTCCTAGTGGGTTTCGCCTGTTTCCAGGGTTCCCAATGTTTTCCGTCTTTGCTTTCTCCCACTTATTGGGCCATTTTCAAGGGAGTTGCCTTTTGGTGGAATACGGGTTTGTCTCCAGGGAACCCCAAACTGGGCTTCCGTTTTTCTGTTGGGTTTTCGTTTGCAAAATGAAAAGGGTACCTTTGCCGCCTTTGCCTCAACAAAAGGACAGGCCCTTGTGGTATCCTCAAATAGTTCGGCACCCCCCAAGAAACTAGCTGCACTGTTATTCGTGTGTTGCTTTCGTGTTGTTGGTTTCTTGTTTTTTTTGCTTTCTGTCTAGCCCGCAAAATCCCAGGTATCACTATAGTAGGCAACCAGCAATCGCCCCATTGGTTTGAGAGTGGTTCCCTAGGTGACCTCTCTGGAAAAACGGAAGGAACCACTGAATCACGGGGTATATTTCGTGGGCACGAAAAGTTGCCGCAAGTTGCCGCACGTTTGGACTTTCGTTGGGCCTCGGAAGCCCCAGGCCATCCCTGCGCGCGCTGCACGGCGTGGACACCGTCCTGGTGGACGAGGCGGCCCAGGCGGTGGAGGCCTCGAGGAAAAAACCCGCGAGAGGTCGCCGGGTTTTGGGAATGAACCGATTGGTTTGCCCTCAAAGGAAGCCATAGGGTTTTGGGAATGAACTGAAGCTAGGCTTTCACTGAAAGGAAAAAATGGAGGATTGTTTATAGGGCTCATTCCTTCATTCCCTGAGAACTAGCAAGAGAATCAGGGGGTAATGACGATACCAACGTATCGGCGTGGTCAAAAGGACCACCAGGATTTTGAATTCGGGAACCAATTCGGGAACCAATTCGGGAGCCACCTCAAAAGTGTCATGAACCCCACCGAATTAGTCCAAAATTGAAAAGTCTCCCCCTCCCGACCATGTTGCCATGGAACCCGAATTCTCGATTCTCCTCAAGGGGCCCTGTTGGTTTCATGTTGCTCGGGGGGGAAAATATTTGTTTTCCGAGTGAACCAGTAATGTATGCGGATCACCTTGTTTCCCTACTTGCAGTATTTGGGCCGGTCTTTGCAGCCAGTTGTTGACCAGATTTGATCAACGTTCAACCCCAAAAGAGCCGACCCTTGAGCAATGATAGCCCAAATGAAAGGGGCGCGTAGTCTTCGCAACTTCGAAACGGGGTCCCAGTCAGAATCCCCACCTGTTCCTCCCCTTGCCACGCGGAAAGCAAAGGTCCTACTCAAAGTTCCTCAGGGCAGATTTTCGGTCCCCGGGCTGTTTAACAGCAATCCAGAAGATTCAGCATCGGCGTGCGCTTTCCCTCTGGTTGAAACTTCAAGCTCCATTTCGAACAGCCTGACCCTCGCGCCTCGCTCCTACGGTTGGGCTGACTCGTTTGAACATGCTGTCCAAGCATGCTCAGGGGTGCATTGGTTCAAACTGCCCATCGCTTCGGACTCGCAGAAGGACGCCTTCTAGACAGGGACCTCGCATGACCTCAGGCTGTTTCCAGTCTGTCGCCCCAAATAAACTTGGTTTGGTTCAAGTATGTATTGTTCAAAGCTACCTGTTTTGTTTTGCGGGGACATAGAGCAAGACGCCCCTGTGCATGGGCTCCTCAAGGGGCTACTTTCAAGGGCCGCGGGGTCGGTTTACCGGTTCCAAAAAAGCTAAAGGGGATGATAGGCCCAGGCTCCGGCTCTCGGAACAGCTGCTAAGGTTTTCGGGTGGGAGGGTTCTCCGTTGTTTTTTGGTCAACGTATTTCCGGTGCGTCGTAGCTTTGTGTACTTTTTGGGAGGGAAGGGGGTGACGCTGAGGCGGTGATATTGAAAGGAGTGCAAAGGGAAGCTTGCAAGTTCTTGGAGTGCGTAAACATCTGCCAGGAGCTGGAAGTTGGGAGACTGCTGAGCTACTCAGATCAACATGAACCTCAAAAGGGGATGCCCAAAAGGAGATTCCGGACATGATGATATGCTGGGTCCCATATGTTAATCATAGGATCACTTCCAACTTTTACGTCTTGCTTCTGGCCCCAAGTTTGGGGCCCTAGACGCGTAGGCGGAGACGCTGGTGCCTTTGTGCCTGGGCCCGAAGCAGCTGGTCTTGGTGGGAGCGCCTTGGAATCGGATCGGACTCTGAATCGGACCGGAGCGGATCGGCTCAGCAAAAGGAGCAGCAAATAGCCCGAGCCACTCACAAAATGGCCTTTGCCAGCTGCACCAATTGAAGATGATCGTCAGTTTTCTGCTTGGGGCCGAAGGGGAAGGACAGTCACTCTTTCTGCCAGGTTTCCTCAAAGGATAGCTGGGGCCAGTCAAACAATCACTCAACAGGTGATGTTCGGACCCGTTTATGATTGTGCTTGGCAAAGTGAAGGCTTCCAAGCACCAGCACCAGCAACATGGTTGATGTCACTCGACAAACATGTCCTCCCAAGGGTCCCTAATGCAAACACGTCAATTGGAAACTTCGCTCCCATTGGCCGCCAATGCGGCGATGTTCGATGGCAACGAGGGGGCTTGCCACCTTTTGTGTTTTGTTTCAAGTGGGTTTGTGTTGTGTTGGGCGCATTCCCAGAGCAACCCCAAATTGGTTAACTCGTTTGTTTGCCTTCTTATCACGAGGTAGAAGTGCCTAAAAAGGCACCAAAATGAGGTTGTGCAAACAATGGTTCGACATACCTGGGGTGTCGCGAAGGGTAAGCTATGTTATTCTATGGTACTGGTATACGAAATGTGGAACAAAGTTATAACATATTTTCTGTAGAAGCAACCAGCAAGAGCAGGGGGTGTCTCATATTTTTCCTTTCGGAGGTGTGTTTTTCCTGTTTTCCCCTATGGTGTCCCTTTGTTTCCTTCTGTTCCTCTGTTTTCCATCTTTCCCCACTTCCCCATGCTTTGGAGTGGGGCTCACCCGGGTTGTTTCCCGAAATCCGAGTCTGGGAGCGCGTCAGTTCGAGGACCCCATGCAGCTGAGCGCCACGGTGTGCCACTCGCAGGCGGCCAAAGACGCCTCCTACTGCCGCGAAGGCCTCAGCGACGGGAGTTCCAATCCGAGGATCCGAAACGGGGGAAAGATCCCAACGGATGAACTGGCGGTCTCTGAGCTTTAAACATATTTTGTTTTATGTATGTTCGTATTTCCTCTGGAACAATCCTGTTTGGGGTCAAACGCACGCCTTCTTCAAAGAAAGTTCGGAAAGGAAAGGCATGGAAAAATAAGAGTTGCCCTCAAAAAAGACACCCCCCGATATCGGGCAACATCCTGTTTAATGGGGTAGTGTGAGGGTTCAGGTAGCTACTTGGGGCGTTTCACTTTCCACAGATCCGGTTGGTGGAAAATCCCTGATTTACCCTCGGTGTCCTTTTGTAGGGTGAAATGGGGTTGTGCACTTCCTGGGTTTTACCCACAGAGGTCCTTTCCTTTTGGTTTCCCTTTACAACCCAACCAAAAAGGGGGTCCGAATCCCAGGAAACTCGCATTTTGGAACCATATGGCTCCCCACTTTCCACTGGTCAACCCAAAAAAGGCTTTCCTGTTTTGACCAGGGTCACACCGGAAAAGCCCGTTTTCTGGACCTTCACCCATGGCGAGCCTTGCTGAGGCTCCATGATGGAGAGGCTGATGGGCCTTGGCCAGGCGTGGATTAACACGGAACCCACTGGAGATGTGTTTTCCCAGTTGAAGGAGAATCGTCTTCCAGGACCCCGAAACGATAGGTTTCTTGTTTGTGGACAGGATGGTGTATATATATATATATATATACACACATGCAACTATGCTGTATATTATCTGGCAACGCTGTTCCGGGATCTGGTTCGGCAGAATTGCGAAAGAATGGGCGAATTCGTCAGGAATACATCATGCTCAAGGAGCAGTACCGCATGCACCCGGAGATCAGCAGATTCCCTTCCAAGCGCTTCTATGGGGGTCGCCTCATCGACGTCTCCACGAAGCCGACGGACGGCCAAAGGGTCAGGGAACCCCGGCGTATGTGTTGAAAGACCGATCGGTTTTCGGGTGCAGGGGGGTGGGGTCTACAGACGCAAGGCTTAAGCCCCCATTGGAAGCACTTCAAGGGTTTTTGTACATAAATCCAGTACATGTTGTTTACCAATCCCTATTGGGGAATTTCATTCCCAGTACACGTCTCCTCCAAGCTGTCAAACTGTCCAGCGATCCAGACATGGTGCCGTTTCCAGCACAGCAACTCGGATTGCCTGACGAGCCTTATTTTGGCAGACGGGGGCAAGGGAGGATCCCATCATAAGGCTGTTTGTTCTGGCATGGCAGAACAAAAAGATAGTCATGCGCATCACATGAGCAAAGTTACATCTTCGTTGAGTCGCCATGCTTTCTATATTCGGAAGATCCGCTTTAGGTGCAGACAAACACGTTTGGATTTTGTTTCGTGCCCAACTTACGTACACAGTTTCCGGCCAGGGGTCGTTTTGTAAATGTGGAAAGATGTGCAGCGGCGGTTTCCGCAAGGGAACCTGAGGACTAGTCTGGTCCAACTGTTGGGTGTCAGCTGTCTTTTTTGAGTGAAAATCTGGAAGTGGTAACTCGGTGGTTCAACCATGGTTGTTTTATTTTGAAGTACTTGTGGGCAAATGGGATCCAACTGGTTTGTTGACGAATTGCCTTCTTTGAAGGGTTCCGAATCAAGGGCCACGCTCCAAAGATGTGAAGCCGCTGAAAGGTTTGGAGGTTTAACCAAAGCCCAGTACCTTTCAATACTAAGACGGAACTGGCTGGTTTCCTGCTATAGAGGTAACTGGGACCAACTGAAAAGGGGAAAGTGGTGGAATTTGATGTTCAACCAAGAGAAGAGTATGTCAAAGCGTCTGGAGAAGTGGCTCCAAAATTATGTTGCAACCAAAGAGCCCTCCAAAAACTGGTCTTTCGGAGCAAAATAGAATCCGTCCGGATTCCAAATGGCAAGTCATGCTCGATTCCTCTAGTTAGGTCCTAAGGAAAGCCAACATGGGACGGATGTTTGACAATTTTCCAACCCCCTGATATATAGGGGCAGAATTACCAATAATTAGTTTGCCCCTTATCATGACGAAGCATGGTTTCACTCCCCCAACCCCATTCCAATTGTCGAACGGCCCTTGCCATTGCTTCGCACCCTGCTCTAGTGCCTTGCCTAACGTGCACTGGGAAAGGGAAGCGGCTCCCAGACCCCCGATTTAGCAGGCTCAAACAGAGGTAATCCCCCGATTTCTTGCCAAATGCACCGCTCGATGATTGGACGCCAGCGCCAGAAGTCCTGTTTGGCCATGTCTTTGGGTGCAGTCAGCCGAAGGGAAGCCGGTGAAACCGGCGCAAACGACCAGGAGCCGTCTTCGCTGCGTGTGACCTTGCCCCCCTACGCCGTGGTGGACGTCCCGGGCCATGAGGAGGTCAGCAGACAGGCGCGGTTTTCTCCGCGCGCGGAAGGGGCCCGTGCTTCGTTTGGGGGTTTGAGCTTTTAACCTTTTGGGTTGTCCACGGAACATGGAAAGGGCAACCTCAGCCCAAAGCCGACCTTTGGACCTTTTCATCTTCCTGTCGTCCATATTCGGTCTCAAAAGCTGATCATTTTTGTTCAGGTCCTTTGGGCAAGTGTGAAGCCTCTTAATCTTTCGGGTTTCCTTTCCCGAAGAAAAACCAGCAACCTACCAGGTTCAAGAGTTGGCCCTTAGAATTAAAGCAACAATGAATTTATTCTGCGTGTCCGACCTTTTGGGATAGGTTTCGCACCAACAACTGGGGTTGCAAGACCTTTTTGCCCGCTAAGAATCTGGTTGCCAGTGAGCTTGATGTCCATCGTGCGTTAGACTGTAACGGCTTGGAGTATCCGTTTGACCCCCGACAAAAGCCAGCTCCGAGTCGATGTGTTTGAACCTCTCAATTGGAGCCCTGGGATCGGAGGTCTAAGAGGGTGACCAGCAAACAAATAAGAAGTTAGATACGATGAGACAGAACGCCAATCTTCGCTGTTCAAGCATGGCGAAAGGCGGCGCTAAGTGTCCACCCGCTCAAACATCATTCCGAATTCCCATTTCATTGAAAGACCCCTCGCCTGCCTCGCACTCGCGCACGTCGGCACGTTTGGCGGAAGCCTTTCACCCCGCGAGAACGGGGGCTCCGGTTCCTTCCGCGCCGGTTCGACGGAATCGACCGCGGTGAGGAGAGCAAAGTGGTGAACCGCAGAGAGGCCGAGGCTCTGGCGAGGTTCGCGCGCCTTGTGGCAGGCGGGCAAAGGGATCCGATGAGTCAGCGCCGTTTGGTTGACCCGGACCCTTAAACTACCCGTATAACCAGAAGTCACCCGATTATTTTGGGCATCTTCGCGAGTTGCTCCCCATCTTTCTAGCTATCGTTCTGTTCAAATTCGGCCACTTCCCATAGGTGTTGGGCTGTTTTGATCTGGAAAGAGGGGGATTTATCCCTAGCGTTGGTTGATTGAGGTTGGCTGGCACCTCTGTACGTATCGGAAACCAAGGCCTTGCAGGTCCCACCTGAAAAAGAAGCAAGTCTGTCTGTCTCTCTGTCTGTCTGTCTGTCTGTCTGTCTGTCTGTCTGTCTGTCTGTCTGTCTGTCTGTCTGTCTGTCTGTCTGTCTGTCTGTCTGTTGTTCGCTACTGTTTATTTGGTTAGGCGGTGTTCAAAATGAACACATGGGGCGTCTTGTTTTTGTTGGAGTGTGTTCTTTTCTTGGGTGTTTTACAGGTGTTTGATTTCCCACTGGCCACTGGAGGTTTGGGGGACAGACCCCCCAGCACGAAAATGATGTACCCCAAAAGGGTTTCAATCCTTTTTGACCGGGTTACGATTTTCTGCGTTCCACAAACATGGGTCAAGTACAGAGGTCACCGAGAACCTGAAGCAGGACAGCACCTGATACCATGTTTACTTTGCACCACAAGACTGACAATGACCACTTTTGGCTTGTCTTTGAACGGGGTGAACTCTCCTGAAATGGGTGCTTTTCATCGGTGTTCCTTTACAACAGCCCGCTCTGCATGTCAGACACGAGGATTTTTGGGTTCCATGTCAATCTGCAGGAGAGTACGCCAGAGAAAACAGAATGAGCAAGCACAAGCATCAACACACACCTAATTTCACGTTTGGGATCATCTTACATGTTTGCCCTTGACTAAAGTGATGGAACAGCTTCACTTCCTAGGTTTTCAGGGTGGAGTATCGACCAAAGTTTTGGTAATCACTTTAAAGACATGGGGGGCTTTCCTCCGAAGACCAAATGGTCCACCAGGCGAGCCTTCCGGACAGCACTTGCGCTGTGCCTCTGTGGTAGTCATTACCTTCTACAACGGCCAGGCCTACTACCCGCACGGAGCTGGTTTTGGTCAAATTAGCAAGTCTTAAAATACTTGGTGGCGAGTCTAAAACAATAGCTTGGTTTTGTTGTGTTATGTTTTGTTTTTTGTTTTTAGTTGGGGGAAATTGACCCCAAACCAGTGATTGGTTTCCTTTTGGTTTCTCTTTACAGCGACTCCAAAATGGTTACCCTCAACAAAAAAAACATCTGACCCGTCCGAATGGCAGCTGTGAGTTACGGTGCCGTTTTTTTTTGTGGCCATGAGGCATTGTGTGTTAGCCAACTTGAATGAATTGTTGTTTAGTCTAAGTAAGATCCAAATGTAAGGCCTGAAGCCTTATTGGGAATCCTGGTGCCTGAGCTTTTCACAGCATCCTGTGATTACCGGTTGTTTGCCGCGAGCCACGTTTCCGCTTTGGTTCTCCAATTGGGGAGACAGATCATATCGAGCCTCGGGCAACACATCGGGCACCTGTGCCCCTCTTTGAACGAGGCTTGCTGCCAGTGTCTTACTTTTTCCCATCGTTCCAGTCCAATATCCAACGTTTGACCTTTCACGTTGGCCACTAAAACGTACAACACATGAAAGCACAATAAACTTAAAGCTTGAAAGGTCGGGTTCTGAACGATTCGATTCAAGGCGCTCTTCGATCAGAACCTTCGGTCCGGAGGCTCCTTGCAAACCCTGTCCGGCGAGCTGGCTTGGGCCGTCCGTTCTTGTCCCAGTCTTCGTGATTTTTGTTGGCTCCTTGTGGTCAAACCTCTAAGAGCCCGTAAGAAGAGCCCTTCCCATCTTGCTTTGCAATGTGTTGGTTTGTGTTCGGGTGTTTGGGGCGCCCCAAAATGATGGTTTCAAGGTGTTCTCGGGTGTTTCCGCCAGGCGCAGCTACTCAGACAGCTGCTGCAGGGCCATCCTGTGCAGGTGGGCCCTAAGGGATGGGACCCTCAAACCACAACCTAAGCTGCGCTGAGCTGGGCGGAGGTTCGATCCCCAGAGAGATTTAAGAATGTCCTGAAAAAATGTGGATTGGTTTGGTTTCTTCAGTTCATTTTGGAGAGCAATCCTAAGCCAAAGATCCAGAAAAAGGACCACCTTGCTGCACAGTGCTGCTCCGAGCCAATGACCAAACCTTGAGAGCAGACAATTGGCTTGGTATCCTTTTCTCTTTTCGGGTTGCAATGTTTCTACCCTTGGTTTTTTGGGAGCCAGCCTGTTGAAGGATTCCGTTGAGAAAGATTGCCACGAACTGGGCCACCTCTTGCAAAAACGGACTCCCCTTCTCACGCAACTTGCAAAGGGTGCAGGCGGGCGCCCCTCAGGTGCACACGGTGGATAGCTTCCAGGGCTCTGAGGCTGGGCGCGAATCGGTCGCAAAGCAATCGAACTAGCCCCCAGAAACCATTTGGGGACTGGCTGGGTTCTCCGGGTTATTTTAGTTTACCAACAGATCGCAAACTAGGCGAACGCGCCCCCCCCCCAATGGTAGTTGTCCTTTTGATGTATATTTAAACCAACCTGAAAAGGAGACCCTTCCAACAACACACACACACAAATTCCAGGAGCCAAAAGAAATGTTGGAATCGATTGCGACTTGTGCATGGAATAGCAAGCCTCGCCTCTCTCCCTCTCGCCCCCGCCATAGCCTCCTGAGTAAACCTTACTGAGGAAATGAGATCTTTCCGGGTTCTTCTTTGGGCGAAGCTTCGAAGGGGTTCAATTCCAGGGCGAGGGTGGATTGATTTAGACACTGAACAGTGGACACCATAAACCCGTCTCTCCTGACAAATCGCAGGGAACCCTAAATGAAACCTCATATTCAGAAAACAGACAGGGAAAGCAGCATGTGGGATATTTGTGTAGCAGCTGCTAGTGATTAGAGCTGCTTGAACAACATATCCTCATGAACAACTACCCCCGTCTGGGATTCCATCTTACGTTGCTGAATATTTACCAGTCCTTTGCGGGTGACGGTGCACTTCAAACACCAATGTTTTGTCTTAAGGGAGTGCCTTTCGAGAGCGACGACAGCACTGGCCTTGCCTTTGCCCCACTTTCAACAATGTTGTGTGAATGAGGGGCTTAATTCCACCTCTGCAAGCAGTAGGTGTTGGAATGGACTTCCATGATCACAGAAGTCGAAAGGCAATTACCACAACCTGTTCAGCAATGAAGCCAAGCAAGCCCTCATGTTAGGCAAGCCACAAGAAGGCGATACAACCAGTCTGGCAGATTGAGCTTGTCTATCCAAAAGGGGGGTTGTAACCCAACCGGCCAAAGGGCATTGAACCTTTTTTCAGGCCCCTTTTCGAGGTGTGTGTGTGTGTGTGCTGTTGCTCCTGGGGCTTCGGCTGCTCTTTCTGGCCCTTTCACCAGTTGGTAGGTGGTTCGCATTATATATATATAATGTTAATGTTTGAATTATATTTGTATGTCACGGGTTGCGCCCGGTGCGAAGTGGATTTCCATCCTCCCCAATGTCTGCACTTGATGCCTTTGGGTCAGTCCACTATGAACAGTGGACTTTGTCCATCAGGGATGGTCATGGATCCTCTGTAGCGTTTTTTGAAGACATGATATATGAATTAATCATAATATACTTGTTGATTTGGAAGCCATGTCCAAACATCCATTTTGGTCATGGATCCCTGTGTAGTTGTGAACAATACTGATACGATGTTTGAATTTAAACTGAGCTCCCAAAAAAAGCTATCAGATATCAGACACCTGTCACTGACTGGGTTCTTATAAGGAGCCCACAGCCATAGAGTGGGGTGCCCGCACGCCGCGTGATCGAGGCGGAGGTGGTGCTGCTCTCCTTCGTGCGGGCCAACGTGCAGCGGCGCCTGGGCTTCCTCACAGAGTTCCGGCGCCTCAACGTGGCCCTCACCCGCGCCAAGCGCCGCTCGAATTTCCCCGAGTCGGCCGTTCGGGGCCGTGTCTGATGTGCCGACACAATGATCGAGTTCCTTTGAAGGGAAACCAAAAGGAGATTGTTGAAGCAACGGATTTTGCAGAGCTTTAGGCAAGCAGTTTTCTGTATATCTTGGCAGTTAACACATCACGTTGTGGACCGATTGTGGCTGATTTTCCTGGCGCCGCGATTGAGAAGGAAGTGTTCGGGAGCCCAGGACACGCCCGAATTCCCCTCATCCGAAATTGTGCAGCAGGTGTGTGTGTGTGTGCTTTTGAGGGTTGCCTTTTGAACTTGAAGGGAGACCAACGGGAAACCACCATGTTAGGGGGTCACCCTTGCAAAATCAGAATTGAGCACTAAAAGCCCTACACACAAACCTTTCACAGACCCAAGTCCTTACTTTGCCGGTGGTTTGCGAGAAAAAGGCGGTATCCTTCCAAGGTTGTCTCATGAACCAACATGCCTCCCCACCCCCCTTCGGAGCATGTGGGAGCTTGCGCAGGCCAATCGTGAATAATGTCCACTGGTGGCCACGAAGATCAATGGTCATGGAATGCCATGCCTCTGAATTTGCCTTAGACTCTGACTTGTGGAAGACCAGTTTTTTCAGCGGCTAGACTTTTTGGTGGTGATTGTCACCAACAGTAAAGCTTGAACGTTTGAACCCAGGACTTGAACCAGTAGCTGTTTTGAACGTATTTGAATATCAAATTCATGGGACCTTCTTGATGTTACAATCATCACAACCCCGATCAGCAGGATAAATATGGGTGAACCACCCTTACATAACCATTTCTTTGTCAGCTTGGGAGATGTTCGGTTTGGTGGGAAAATCTTTACATGAGACAATTGGGGAACCCTATTCATTTTGAAGTCCTCGCTAGCTGTTAGATGACGGATGAAGTGTTGGGCAAATTTGGTCTTGAGTTGTTGCTTTGGTTGTGTTTCTTTGTTGAGTTTGTTGGTGATCGGTCGTTTGGACGGCTTTTTTTTCCCGGTCTTGTGGCGGCCTTTTTCAGCTTCCTTTGATTTCATTTTATGTGAGAAGGTTGGTGATCACCGCGCAAATAATGAAGGCATATCCTACTCCAGAAGCAGAGATGTTCCTCAGATACCACTGCCATGACAGGCATGTGTAGACATCATTCCTTCACTTCTAGGATTTACCAAAGCGATACATGCCAATCCCAATGCTAGGACTCACTCCTCCACAGTGAAACAATTGTTTGACCTTTTCAATTCACACGTTTGTTTCGAATTTAGTCTGTTGATGTGGCAGAACAAAAACTAATTCACAAGCCTGTTCCAAGAGGCGCATGCCCTTGGTGTGATCCTTGAAGTGAGTCTGGGCTACGTCAAGGAAGGACAGTTCATTCGGCAGGTCCCAAAGGCTCTCCATGTTTCAGGCCTCGCACAAGCCTTGTGATTTACCGCGTTACCTTCCAATCCAATCCTCAAGCGGCCATGCAATACTTTCGGTTTGCGCTGTGATCAAGCAACACACTTTTTACAGGGCCAGTTTGACCCACCATTTGTTCAAGGTTCCAAAAAGTGGTCACCCTATGTTTCCAAGTCCTCCACGAACGTGTGGTGCCTTTTGCTGAGGTTCGCTGATCCTTTTTGCCAACGCCTCGCTGCTGCGCGCGGCCAAAGCGGCGAGCAAGGAGGACGGGCTGGCTCAGAGCGCGCGGAATGCTCGAGACGTCCGGGTCCAAGATGCCTTCGGGACCCTATACCCAACCCTTCTGAAGAGAAAAAGGGTTTCTTTCGGATTGCGGGGTCTGTAGGGTCCCTAGTGGATGGAGTTGGGTGTGGTTCCTGCCGTGTCGGCCTAGTGTGAGCAACTCAGTTCCAAGATTGTTTCGGCTGGGAATTCCTGATACATGAGCCTTTCAGTCACCCGCACAGCCGGGGGTGGAGGTTTGAAAACAGGGAACAGTTACAGTGTGAGCAGCCTTCCTGTGAAATACATGCAAGTTTTGTGCTGCAAGGCGCATTTTTGCCAGGCTAGTTGATGTGTTAATGAAGAACTTTGCTAACCCCTCCAGTTATTATTCCTAGTTTGTTGGTGTCAATCAGTAAGTTGGTTAGCTAGCAGTTAGTCAGAAAATAAATTTTCTCTAGTTGCTTCGATGCCAACTTGGCAGTCTGTCAAAGTACTTTTGTTGGTACTCAATTAGTCCAACCGCCCAGCCAGCCAGCCATCCAGCAAGCTAGCGAGTGAGTGAGTCAGTTACTCAGATCAAAACTAGTAGTTTGCATGTTTGTCAGCTAGCAGGTACCTAGCGGCCCCTCTGGGATAAACGGTGATACCAAGCTGGCTAAAGGGGCCACCCTGGCCAAAATCCGCAGGTCGCATCGCCTTGTTTAGCCAGCTCAGTCGACAATCATTGAGGTGAACATAGTTTATCTACGGCACGTGTTGTTACACGGGTGATCTCCTTTTATTTCCAGGTCCTTTGGTTGCAAGTGAGGAAATCCTGCAACAGATGGATGAAACTAGATGGCACCATTCTTCCAGTTTGACTTAGGTGTCCCCATTACCTCCCCATGTAAAGGGAATCGTGCCATCTACTTTGGTGTAGTTGGCCAGTCTCGCAAACTGTACGAAAAGTTTGGATTTTTGTGACCTAATCAACAATCAATGGTTGGGTGAAGCAAGAGAGGCATCAGGAGTCCAAATGAAGGTCCCTTGGGTGGTCTAGAGTCTAAACATCACGTTTGGGGCCAGCATTTGAGTTTCCTTTTGGTGGCTGGTGTGATGTTAGGGACATACCTCTATCTTGTTACTTCTACCATCCGACCCCTACTTCTTGACCTTTGGCCGCACAATTAGTTTATATTCGTGAAGGTTGGTAAGGTATAAATATTATGTTTCTTGGTTGATGCTTTTATTATTCTACTTGGTTGTGCTTCATTTACATTCGGATTTGTGCATAGAATTATCATCAGGCTTAAATTGTATTTCATATATTAAAGTTAATAGTTCTTCTCACTTTGATACCATCTGGATTCTTCATTCTTAATGTATTTATGATTAAAGCTTGAAGCCACCAATTGTTGCCCCAATTGTTTGTTGGTTTCCCTTTAAAGGGGGCCAGGGGCTGGTTGAGAGAGCACCAAGACATTCCCAGGCCTTCCGGCCGAACGGCGTAACGGCGCGCTCGAAGGATGACGTGGCGGCGCTGCTGGCGGACGCGGCGGCGCGGGGCAGCATTTGGCCGGAGCACCAGGCGGAGCAGCTGTGCAGCGGCTCGGCGCTTCGGGGGGGGGGGCAGAGATGGGGGTGGCAGGCTTTGGGAAAGGGGGGGGGGAGAGGGATTACTGGATAGGGATTTGATTTTCCATTTTTTACCGCACAATTGGGGGCAAACCGCGCAAATTGAGGTTTCTCCGCAGCCAGATGATTCGTAAGGGGTCTAGCCGTGCAAGTTCTATGGCGAGCGATTCCGCAGATTCGGGGGTAAAACGAGCTCACTGTGAAGGCCCTTCACCTGAGGATCCCAAATTTCAGGTGCTGGAATCATTCTACCTCTTGCAGAAGAAACGGGTTCCGATCGCTTTCACCCAAGGAGAAGCGTGTAGCATTTGAAAGGAGCACATTTTGTAGACTCATTTTGGGTCACCCAACGGTCATTTCTCACCCCCCAAGTTCCTGGTGGCTGGTAACGTTTTTGGGTTTGGACCATTTTGGTGGCAAACAGCTAACAAGTGTCGGAACCTCTTTTGGGCCAATCAGTCGTGTCTCCCAGTCTCCCACATGGTGGTCCTTCCTTTGAAAGTTGATAGGGGTTAGTTATGTGTCCCGAACTTGAGTTATGGGATGATCAAGGAACATAGAAAATATCACTTCCCCGAATTCCGGTTGTTTGACCGAGAAAAGACTTAAGAGCCCCAAACAAGACAGACGCTCACAATCGCGATGAAACCAAATGAGCAGCATTGGCCTTCTTTGTAGCTGGTTCTACCACCTGGTCTGGTGGTGGTAGCAAGGCCTATTCAATCATTTCTAACCATCTTGGCAGAATCTTACTGCTCGAATGAGATTTTCCACCTACCCCATGGAAGCCTTCCTGGTGAGCTCTGCTCGCTGATGGCGCCAGCCACCTTGCCATTAGCTGAGGAAGTAATGCGGAACCCCGGCCGGTGAAGCGGAGGACGCTGCGTGCCATTTCGGTTGAGCCAGGGCTGCCCTTTTCACGGACACACGTATGGCCTGCCTAAATGTGGGGCTTTCCTCTTGGAGATATGCCTGCTTTGTCCCAAAACAGGGCCACTCTGGTTTGAGCATGATTCACTGAAGACATGATTAGTTGTCAGGGTTGGGCAGGGGTTGGTTTAATGAACCAAGCCCTGGTCATCCACAATGAATGGGAAGCCAAAAGCAAGTTCTTTAAAACATTCATTCGCTGTTGAAGCATGTTTGAAGAAGGGGTTGGCCGAACCTTGGTTCTTGCTTCGGGGTGGATGAGAAGGGAGTGCCACCCGAGTCGTCCCATGTCCTTCTGGGGCAACGATAATGTAGTTTTTTTACGTAGTTGTTGGCGTTTCACATGAGTCAATTTCTATTGTATCAATATCAACACCCTCCTTTTGGTTCCCCTTCAAAATTGGGCACTCCAATGTTACTTGTGTATTCCAGGGTAGACTAAACATGAAAACGACTCACTCCCCAAGTTCCTGGACTTTAAGCTTTTTGGGTCGCTATGTTAGTGGCAAACAACTGGTAAACACAGGTAAGTCTATTTGTTCTTCCCGTCCGATCCACTCCTTCGGAAGAGAGACCCGAAGGATCTGATTTTTCTGTACCCCAGTGGGTCATGCCGCGGTGCAACCCATTGGCTGAATGGTAGGCTTCCCAGCAGCTTCACAGCTGAGACCTGCAGGATTCATTCCCGTGACTTTCTGGAGTCTTCTGTTGACCCTTTACAATCGGGGGTCACCCAAAGGACAGGGGTCATGAAAATCCACACTATTGAGGGCCATAGAGAATCCAAGTTCCATGTTCCCATCTGGAGAAGCCAATCAAATGCAACAAGCGTGGCCTTCGTTGTTTTTCCCAAGGCTAGCGAAATCCCACGATTCGCTCGGGACGCGCTGGCGCCGGACGCCCTTTTACTTGGGATGGTGGACTCGATAGGAAGCTTAGAGCACGATTCACATTCGTGATTTGCTTTGGGAACCATAAGTTCGTGGACCAATTTTGGGGGGAATGGTGACTAGGCGGTTGAGGCGGTCTATTTCAGGCGTGTTGAACTGGCGCGACTGGGTACGCACCCACACACACACACATGACCAAGGTTCCTTTCTTTTGAGTCCGCCAGTTGTGGTATGCTTAGGGCAGATTTGATGGGTTGTCCCCTCGAACAGTCGTCCCTCGCTGGACTGCAGAGTTTCTACGGAAGCCCAAGGGAAATGGTGCAAGGCAACTGGTGGGTGCTTGCGTCGCAGACTTGGTTTTGCTGCTTTCACCTTGGAGGGTTTTTAGAGTAACACACATTTGCCACCTAGCAAGCAAGTGTAGCTCGGAAAGAAGCCCTCAACAGAACTTCCATAGGTGCCCTTTGGTTTCTCTTAGACGTAGGCGGATTCCACTGGTAGTTTGGTGCTAACCATGCCAAGATTTGCCGAAGCAACACGTGAGCTCTTGAGCTTGGGAACCCTTGGCACACGACGTTCCATGTCTACACTTTCTCGAGCTGGGGTCACCGATTTTGCGACATCCTCGTGTCTTCATGTCTTGAAATCGGTGACCCAGCTCGAGAACTCTTCAGGCAGATCACTAGCGATCGACAAGAAGCACTTAGCTTTCTCTGCCCAATCCGCTGAAGTGCGACTTGTTTCACGGCGGCTTCTTTCTGGGGGCGCCAGCCTCTCAGGATCTCCAAAGGACCGAAGAGCTCTAAGCGCGCTAAGCCGCGCCCCGAGGCATCTCCGAGAGATGCCACGAGGCGGGGCTAACGGGTTGGTATCAAAGTTGCCCAGTTGCCCACTTGGGTACACCCTTTTTCCCAGACAGCTGATTGCTTGTGGGGTCTTTGCCCCAGTTCTGGGATGGAGCAGCATTCAGGCAGTGTTCCGGAGGGTTCCGGAAGAGTTCCTGAAGGGTTGTGGGGCTGTTGGGGAATCTGCCTTTTTTTCCTTTTGGGGGAAAAGGCCCCCTAAACCCACAAAAGGAGGATGCCCTGTTGTTGTGGAAATCGGTCCTGAAGTATGGCCTGGTCGGTATGGTGGTGGTGGCGAGGCGGTGCAGGCGAAACGTAAATGTATATGTGCACCCACCTGTTTGGAGGGGATGCTTCCAAAACATCGCTGTGTTGATCTTAAGTTAAAGTGATGTCATAGCACATCCTAATTTCATGGACTTTGGTCACGTTTCGACTTTTGCCAAGCCACTCGGTCGGTGAGGCATGTTCGTTTTGCACACTTGGGAGGAGCTCCCTGCCGGTAACACATCTGCTAAAGAAAGTGTCCTTGTTCGTAATATGCCATTGGCCATCTCGGATTTTATTTTAGGGTTAGACCACATGTGGAACAGAGTCAGAACATAAGTCTTTCTAGGTACCTCGGATATGGGCCAAGAAACCTGGATCGCGTAAATTCCCAACAGTCCAGTCTGAAATGGGACACTCATAAGGGACTACCCAACTCAAGTTCTCGCGGTTTTGTGTCACTGTTCAGGGAAACTATATCAGTGCAGCTGCCCTTTGATCGGTCCTTTAAGTGAAGTCGGGGGTGGGAATCCGCATTGACCAAGGGTTCAAGCCCCCAATCCAAACCACCCATTCACGGGAAACCGTTTCGGTGGCATCTCCAGCAGTGAGCCAAAGCCAACAAAACCCTCGGGAGTTAGATGTGTTCTACTTTGGGCGCGCACAAGTCAAGCTGGGGTCAATCCTGGGTCTCCATGCAGCTAGCATCCTATTTTGGGGAACACATCTCCAATTTCTCTGCGCGGTTGATTAATTTGCAGTCAACACTGCAGTCAGCTTTGTTGTTCTTTGGTTGCCTTGAAACTTGAACTGCTTAGGAAACGCAATAGCACAATGTGCGTTTCTCCTGTGACTTGGGAGCAATGTAGACAAGCCGCAAAGGGGATGAGCAGTAGAGCGCATCCCTGGACATGCATTTGGCAGAGCTGATTCCTATGTTAGACTGCTGAAGAACGACCTCAACCGATGCAAGATGTCCAATAGCCACCCGGACCTCTAGTCTTGTTTGTGTCTAACATTTATTTTTGGGTGTTTCCATCAACTACCAATCATGGGTGCCTCACTTCCCCGCCACTGGAGGTTGGGGGGCTGCGCGTTTTGTGTTTTTGTCTCTTGTAGTTTTCTTGGCTGCTCGTTTCGAGGCTTTGCCTCAGGTGCTGTTGGTACTGTGAGTTCCGGTTCCAGGCTCAAGGTGCTTTGTTCTCCACAAGGTTGTTGGGAAACGGTGACTGGTATGTGGCACCAACAAAATTGATGGTCTCCAAATGGCCATTGGTAAGCGCGTCATATGCAGCACCAACACGCACATGCAGGCTTGGGCTCAGGCAAGCGTCTCCTTCCATGAGCTTGAGTAAAGTTCCGGGGGTGGTGCCAGAAACACAAGCGGAAGTCAGGTGTGCAGCGGAGCCGGACGTCTTGCCACCGGAGAAATCCGTGGAATCGACCAAACCCAAAGTGCAAAAGCCACGCGGCACAAAGCGCCGCGCAAAGAGACGCGCTGCCGGCGACAAAAAGCTGGGCGCGGCTGGTGTGTTGGCCGTGGGCAAACCGTGTTTTTGGACCTTGCAGGGGTGTGCGACCCGAACCATCAAGGTTATTTCATAGGGCACCCTTTGGGTTGGTGATTTGATCACTTAGGAGCTGGATCTTTGATTGTGGGAAAATAGCCAGGAATTGAAGGCTTAGCCAAGCCCCACTGTAGGTGTACAGGGTCCGCAGGAAATTCTGATGCGCATAGTTTTTTTGGAACGGACATAGACAGCAGGAAGACTCAAAACGGTTGCCCAAAGCGTGAAAGGGGTATATGCAAGCGCTCCTGAGGAGTATGCCCAGTGGAACTTCTGCAAACAAACTGTGGCAATCTTTCGCAGAATCTCTCCGAAGAAGTGATGGGGAAGCCTGGCTTCTAAAGGTCAGATTCGTATAAAGCAGGATATCTATGAGTTTTTTCGTCTCACTTGCCCCTGGTGGAAAGGGGTGTGGCGCCACTTTCCTTCAAAGTGATACAGTAGTCATGGCAAACCCATGTTTGATGTCACAAGGGTTCGGCCCAGTTTCCACAGCAACGCTTGCATTCGACAAAAATAATGGAGTACATTCCTGACCGAAACACCAAACTCCGGAGGTCGGATGTCAGGGCTCTTGCAAGAGTTTGCAATCGGAACTGGTGAGTTCACTGGCCCGAAAAAGTGGATATGTGTTGCCTGAAAGTGTTGAGTTGCCAAACAGTTTCGTTGCAAACTGAGTTTGTTTGGGACCCCCAGATGGATGCCTTGGCACCGGGTGTTTCTTTGGCCAAGGGGTCCAAGAAGGTAGCAAGGGACACGGGTTGAAGAATCAAGCCATCATGCCAATGGCGTGCAGGTGTCGCAAGGCTCAGGCGCTGAGAGTTTCGCGTCTCGAGAGGATGTCAACCGCACGATTTTGTGTGTGCTGCCCGTTGCGTTGGTGTGTGTTTTGTGGGCCGCGGTTCCCTGGACAAACAAGTTTCGTGGTTGTTGGCTCCCACAGGAAATGGTTTGAAACTGGACAAAAGATGGCTTGAAGTGGTCAACTTCTGGTGTCCTTTCAACATCTTTTTCAAGTGATGCAATCATGGTGGGAATGCTGCTGAATGGTAGAACAGACTGGGTTGTTTTCCATGGACGGTCCAGTGGATGAAGGAGTTTCCATGACCCTTTGAAAATGAGGTCGTGACCCCTTTTTTTGGCAGACGACCCCATTTTGCAGGGTCACCGAGCCTCCAGGTAGAGGCACGTATCCTGACCTACTATAGTGGTAACCGGATCTCAGCATCTCAGCTGAGTGGTAAGCAGACTTGGGTTTTGCATATATCATTTGACCACCCCCGAGTGGTTTCAAGGCGGGAAGTGGATGCTTTTGGACCTGAAGCATGGCATACCCTCTCAAGGCAGCCCCTCCGCAATATCGGAGATGTTTGATGGCCATAAGTTCGCAGTTGGGGGACGGGGAGTCTTCAGGGGAAAACGGGAGCACTAGGTGAGTATTCTTTGCTTTACCGCCATGGTAAACGCTGATCCTGCAACCGGGTTGAATGCGCCCATATATTTTGGGATTTCTATCATATCTCGCAAAATCCGGTTGCTCCTGCTTGCAAGTGGAAACCAACACATTGTTTTGCTGACCAGTAGCGGTTTCTTGACGGAGGCGGACCGGTTTCTTGACGGCTAATGCACAAGAACAAGTCATGTCTCAGGCGAATCGACCTTTTTACCTCTGGATTAGCAGTTCAGCAGTTCCTCTTCGGGTGGCCCACACGAGCAACGGAAATAGATAGAGATCGAGGTTATTATTCCGGGTAGCCTGTCGGTTTTGCAGGTGGCTAGGTATCGGTTTTGGGTTGTCCATGTACAACAGTATATTTCTATAATGGTGGCCAGATTGTCAGGTCTAGCACATTCTTCAAAGTCTATTGTTAGTTTGGGGAGGATGATAGGGGCCCATCCAAATCTCACCACAAAAGCCATGGATCAAGACCCAACATGTCCTCTTGGAGAGACATGTGTACTTTTGTCCGGGGTTCATAGACTTCAATGCCTATTGTATCAGCAACATCCTTTTGTTTCCCCTTAATAGGGCAGTAGCGGCCACTGTCTTTTCGCTTAGGCCAACTTGATGATTGGTACTCGTAGGGCTAAGATGCCAAGAAACGCGGGCAGTAGCCCAAATCTTGGATGCTATTTGGTTGGATCTTTCACCTGTAGCTCTTCCAGAAAGAAGTTGTTCTGTTTCCTCTTGAAGTGTAGCTAGGTCCAGGAACCCCTTCATGAAAATTCCTTTTGGAGGAGAACCAACACAAAACGACCCCGCAATGTCAGGCAGCCACATCAGCCTGAAATCAGGCCGCGGCCGCAGCAGCTCGCCGGCCATCCGCCTGGCAAGGCGCGTTTCGTTCCTTGGTCGATCGTGGCATGTGAGCCACACGTTTCAAACAAGTTCGGGTAGACGAAAACAGAAGGGAGAAGATCAAGCATAAGAATCGGCGCCCCTTCTTTTTCAATTCTTTGCGTGGTGCTCGGTAGACTATTTTGGTGCCAGGTTGTGATTGTGACTCATGGTGTTTAGCTGTGCAATTCAAGGTTCTCGAAAAAGAGACGCACACGTATGGTTGGTTATAGCTCTTTGGCCCCCTAAAGACCCATGACTCCAATGACATCTTCGGCCCCTTACGGATTGGGGACTCCTCTTTCAAGTGTGTGAATTCAGTCACTTGCCTCATGTAAAGGGAAGCCACCAGGAAAACCACCCCTTCACCTGAATGAAGGGTTTCCTACATTGGCTTTCGTTTTCCTTTGGTCTCCCTTTTTGAACTTGAACCATTGGTGCTCTTTTTCCCTTTTTGTTGGAGCGGGTTTCCGTTCAACATCTACAAAAAGAATGGTGTTTGCTTTGCTCCCGCCAGAATGGGTACCAACTCCAACATGATTCGCCCAGGAAGACAAGCAGGCAGCCCTCATTGCTGGTTGATAAGGCAGAGAAACCAGCAACTGGACTCTGGATGGCCATTTTACCCTTCACTGATCTTGGAATGATGTTTTGTCTTGGTTTTGTGCCCGGTCCTGTTTGTGTTAAGCCGCGGGGTCTGCAATACACATGCATGTTGTTACACCACAACAAAGGTTGGGCCATTGGGGAAAACAAAAGCAACGCACTTGCGAACACGCAGACAGTTTAGGCCTTTAGTTTAGGGTTTAGAGGGATGACGTATCCGACTACAGGCTTGACATTTCGCAAGGGAAGTGTTACGCCCCTGGTTCATGTTGATAGGCGTGGCGGGATACGGCTCATTCTGGGAGTCAAATCCCAGCCCTCCACGCAAAGGGTCTCAGGCCATGGGCGGTAACGAGTGACGCGTATTTTGCAGACACCCAAAAGCAAAACACAAGGGAGGTTTCTCTGTTAAACCACCACACTGTGGATTCACCAGTTGGTAGGTGGTTTATCCAACGCTGCACAGGCATTCCACCCATTTTAACTGCTGCCGCGGATTGGATTTTCTCCATCCGCAGCACATAAAACTTGGGCCAAGGTATGGCCTCAGCAGCGTTTTGGGCCCCCCCCCCACCCCACCCGTTTCGCAGGCCAATGAGCCTCGAGGGCGCCAGGCGAGCGGCAGCTGCAGAGGCGGGAGGATCGGATCAACGAGGGCGGGGAAGGGAAAGATGGGTGTGAAATGGTGCGAATGTTCGTAATGGGGAAGCACGGAGGAATAAACTCCTGGTTGTTAGAGAGGGGTGTCCTCTTTTAGTGGGGGGGGGCATCACTGTTGGAGGGAACACTTTCTATGGTGGGTTTCTTTATCCGGGGTCAACATTGGGGGACCCTTTGGCGGACATCATTCATGTCCAACCACTTTCAAGGTGCAAGGTGCGTTATTTTTACCCACTGAAATTCATGGCCCCCCAATTCGGACACTTGGCCTGATTTTCTCCTTTCCGACTTTGTGAAAGGTGTTACTGTGTGACTGTGTTACTTTACTTTACAGATTGGCTCCATTTTGATTTCTTTTTACCCATCAAAGCACAAGCTTTGGGGTCTCCACCCAATCTCCGAAGGGGGGGAAACCACCTGGCCAAATTTTCGCTTGGTTCTCTCCAATACAGTTTCAAACGTGTTGTACTTTTGCCCAGTCAGTCTAGAGTCTATCCAGTCACTCTATGTTCTCTTCATTTTATCTGAACATGCTGATCTAGGGGTTGAGTTCCCATTCTGTTCAACCATCTTTCTTTTGAAACTTCTCCATTTATTTTCCCTGTGTTTCTGGAGGTTTATTAGAAAGAAGGATTTTTGGAAAGGATGCGGAAGGTCCCCTAGAGCTGACCCCAACCAGGTTGCAAAACTCATGCAGGCAGCGGTGGCGCGCTCGCGGTCGCCCACGCCGCCGCAGAGCCGAGCACGTTTGACGCGTGGAAGAGTTATCTGGCAGCCCAGGAAAAGTTCTTAGAGCCTTCTGAGGGCGTTTAGAGCTGTTCTGGTGGGTGGGGCTTTAAAGATTCGTGCTTGTGGATTTTGGGGATTTCTTTCAGGACGGCCTTAGAGATGTCAGTCGGGATGTTTCCAGTGGATTGTTCGTTGGGGGATGTCGTTGGATGTTTCTCTGGGCATGTTTGGACCATATTTCGACGGTTGCCTGGTTTTGGACTCACCTAAGTCTCCCTGTTGACTAAGCTCAAGCATCATCACCGTTTAAACCATTTTTTTACACACACACACAACGGGCACGCAGGCACATGGTTTACGGGCTCCCTATTTTTTGTGACATCTTGTTCGGCGTTACATCCATATTTCGGTGTTGGGTGTTAATTCACCCCTGAGGCCAATGTTCGTTGAGTTTCTGCTTGGATGACCTGTTTGTAACCCGTCCTTGAATTCGCCAAGTCATAATTACCAAGAACCTTCTTGGTTTCCTGGATGGGGTCCGACTTACATCCCCAAGTCGACATGGGCTTGTCTCCCAATCGGAATCGGGACCCCCCAACGATGACAATAGCTTCTTTGGGTTTCCCTTTAAAAACACCCCACAATGGATACCCGAGAACAAATTAAATGCATACCCACATACCAACCAAAATCAATACATATGAATTGGCTACACAGGGGCCATCCAGGGATAGAACACTATCCTGGCTGGACCTGTATGTTCCGGGTTCCAGCTTTATCGGTTGTTTGACTTTGCTAAATCAGAGCTAGTCAGAGGACGCGGCCGCATGTCCTAGGTGCCTCATAGGCTCTCGTTGTCCAAATATGAGTATATATATATATACATGGTACAGCGTTGCGAGTCCCCCCCCCCCCCAATGGTCATGGGTCAGACAAGTACAACCCCCCCCCCTGTGTTTAGAGTTTAGGGTTGGTTTAGGGTCATGGGTTGTGGGGGTTTAGGGTTGGTTTAGAATTGGTTTAGGGTATATTTAGGGTGTAGTTAGTGTTAGTTTAGGCTTGGTTTAGGGTTGGTTTATGTTGATTTAGGGTTGGTTTAGGTTCAGAGGTGTACGGTTTAGGGTTTGGTTTAGGGTGTATTTAGGGTTGGTTTAGGGTTAGTTTAGGGTTGGTTTAGGGTTGGTTTAGGTTAGGGTTTATTTTTTAGGGATTGGTTTAGGGTGTATTTGGGGTTAGTTTAGGGTCGGTTCAGGGTTAGCTTGGGGTTGGTTTATGTTAGTTTGGGGGTGGTTTAGGTTTAGAGGTCTACGGTTTAGGGTTTGGTTTAGGGTGTATCTAGGGTTGGTTTACGGTTAGTTTAGGGTTGGTTTATGGTTGGTTTAGGTTTAGGGTTTATTGTTTAGGGATTGGTTTAGGGTGTATTTGGAGTTAGTTTAGGGTCGGTTTAGGGTTAGTTTGGGGTTGGTTTATGTTGATTTACGGTTGGTTTAGGTTTAGAGGTCTACGGTTTAGGGTTTGGTTTAGGGTGTATCTAGGGTTGGTTTACGGTTAGTTTAGGGTTGGTTTATGGTTGGTTTATGGTTGGTTGCGGGTTGGCTTGTCCTGGGGTTGGGGGTGCCGGGTTGTCGGGGTGCGAGTTCAGGGGGTCGGGGTGAGGGTGGGACCGCAGGTGCCAGGATCCGGGGGCTAGGGGTCTCGGGCCAGAGAGGGGGGGGGAGTCCTGCAGGACCCATACCATCTGGGGGGGGGGGTAGCAACACGGAACACGGGACCATATATACATGGTCCCCCCCCATGGATCTACATTCCTTGAGAATTCACTGGTATGTACAGTGTTTCGTGCCTTTTTTGGGGCTTTGGGGAAAGCAGCAAAAAGAGGCGCCTATCCAAAGACAATCTGAAAGCTTTAGACCAAACTTTTTCCAGGGAATCTTGAACCCAGTCGGTTTGGATCTACCTCGGTCCTATTCCTAAGCTGAGGCTTTGTCAGAAGATGCAAACAACAGCTATGTTGGAGCCCTAAAGAAGCAACATGTTTTAGAGCCAATGACCCAAAAGTAGAAAGTAGAAAAAAGTAAACACGCACAAAAGTTAAACAACAAAAAAAGTAAAAAGTAAAAAGTAAAATATTTCAGTCCATGGTCAAAGCAGTTTACTTCAGGATCATGGGCTGATTTTTGTTTACTTGCTTGTTTTTTGTGTTTAACCTTTTTACTTGTTAACTTGTTTGCTTTTACTTTTCCATTGAACGTGTTTGTTATTTTTTCCTTTTGCGTCATTGGCTCCGGACATTGACGCTTACTTCTTTGCTTTTGTACTTTTAAGTCTCTGGCTCCAGAAACTTACTTTCTTTGCTTTTGGGTCATTGGCTCCACATGTTGTTTACTTGTTTACTTCTGTGTCACTCGCTCCAGAACTTTACGCTTTTACTTTTTGGGCTATTGGCTTCATAAGTTTAAATATATATATATACATACTTTGACCTTTCCAAGCTGCTGGTTTGCATCTTCTGACCAGACCTGAGCTAGAGTTTATGGGTGTAGGGTTTGGGGGGTTATTGACTCGCGTTTATAGGAATCGGATTTATTTATTGTAATTGGTTGTTCAATGAATTTCATTGGACACATGCTTGTTTGTTCAAAAAGCAAGTTTTGTTTAACTTTTTTTGCTTGGAATTCAACGTATTTGATAAGGATTAAACATCAAATAAATCACTTAGAATTCTTGTCTCAAAATAGATTTGAAAGATGCCGTTAAAAGGGGATCTGTTTCTAGGATTGTGTTTTTTCAATTTTCTCATTAGAATTGACATGGAGCCCAAGGAGATTTCTAGTTTAAAGATAATTTTAATAGGAAGTCCTTGTCGAACTAGATGTGTAGTCAAAGTCTTATTTGAGCCTAGATGTTCAAACGGGTTGATTTGTTGGCATAGGTTCAATAGAATTTAAGAAGAATATGAATTTATCAGAATGTTCGGCGTTAAAGAGAATCTACATAGTGTGTGTGTGTTCTTTTGTTGAAGGTGTGTAATGATTGGAATTCTCAATAGATGTTCAAAGTTATGCTTTTTTTCATGATGATTTCAATTTTCTAATTAGACCTTAAATAGAAATAAAACACACACACACACACACAATTGGAGTTGTTATTCCAAATGAGATTTTGAAGAGGATTTCCTTGCTTAGGGGTGAGCTGATACTGGCCAAATAATACAACTGCATTCCATCTCCAAATAGCCTTCAGCCAGCAAAAAGGTAGATCCATCGGGTTGGGCGTGTGTGTGTGTGTGTGTTCAAATATATATATATATATATAGATATATGTTGTCTTTTTGCGGGTGCCCTTTTTGAGAACAACACATGTTGTTTGGTTTCCCCATATCCAGTCAGTTATGGTCATTTGGGCCGGGACATGGGGACGAGACCTAAATGTCAACCACAACGCCGGAGGGGAGAGACCTGATTTTGTCATGTCCTTTGTTGCTGAACCTGTTTCTACCTTTGGCTCATGTGCGCACACATCAGTCGACAGCATTCGTTATAGTCTAGTGTTAGTTTGGGGATGAATTGGGCCGGCCACGTTTCATCATTCGGGGGAACAAACAACCGGTGCTCCTTAACATAGACGCCACCTTGTGGGGTTGTGTTCAGGGGAAACTAAAAGGACACCAACCACTTGAAGGGGTCTCCAATTTTGAGAAGCGCCCAATGTTATCCAGGCTTTACTCCAAACCCGAAGCTTGATTTACTCTTGTGCCTTCAATCTTCGTGGGGAAATGTGTGTGTTTTCCCAGCAAAACGCTTAAACCATTCCGCGAGTCATGCTGATGAACAAGTGCATCCGGGGCTATCCGGGGCTGCGTGGCAGGCCGGGCATTGTCGCCGCCGGTGTTGAAGGCGGGAACGTAGATCTGGGCCCGCCGAGTTGGGGGTTGGGTCTGCTTGGCGGTTGGGAGGGGGCGTGCGGGGGGGGGGGGAGGGGGTATTGATGTGCATAGTTTGTACATGTTACATTCACATGAAAAGGTGCATTGATGTATGGTGATAGTTCTTGTTCTTGCTGAGATTGCTTGCTTGGCTTTTAGTATCAAATATATGTGTAGACAGTTCTCGAGATAGAATTGCTTCTGCTTATCGACCATGACAGGACCAACACGTGAAATCATCAGGGCTTCTAGGGTAATGACTCAATGAGCCTCCGTTTGGTGGCAGTTAAACAGACACTCAAGGTGCTGCGAGTTTGTGGTCCTATGGGTTCATGTCCATTGAAAGAGCCGGCATTTGACATGACTATGATTTGCAAATCAACAAGCTCACCCGTGATGAAGATCCTTTTCTAGGGGGGGTCTCTCATTTCCATGTGGGATGGTAATCTGCCCTTGCTTCTTGGAATGATGTGCTTGAACGCGTGTCGCCGGCCGAAATATGTTGTGTTTCTCTGGCTCCAGGAATCCGACAAGCAAATATGTCCTTTGGCTACGTGTAAACACCCATCCAACGATTCTTGGTGTGCAGCCCAAAAAGGCGAGCTGGGGGTAACTTAGGCCCACATGATGAAGGTCCTCTGGGGAATCCTTAATTCAGATCGGCAAGAAAGAAGATCCACGAATGCATGTTGATTTTACAGCAGTTTCATTTGGGCCATTGGCAAATTTGGAGGCAAGTGGCCATTGCCCTGCCTCGAAGTCTTAGCAGCATATTTGTCGTTCATTTACCTGACAGTAGACATGATCGAAATGCTTGCACAAGTTGGTGGAGCAACCCTGCTTCGGGCTTGCTTGGCTTTCAGCTCCCACTGACCAACAGAACTTAACTGGTTTTAAGCAACCCATGCACTGAGCAAGCCTTGGTTTGTGAGTGTCTTTTTTTGTTCCACACCCTAGTTTGCGAGGACATCCGTTACGCTTTCTTTCCGTCTGTTGACTCCACAACCCGATTTGTTTTGAACCCCAAGACGAGGATGAAGCTAGGTAGCGTTATCTTTCTGTCCACCAGTCGCAAGCACTACGCGGCACTCGGCCCTTTTCCGTCGCCATCTCTGAAGGGATCCGGCGATCTCCGGCCTCCGATGAATTTCGACACCAAGCGCGGGCTTTGTGCTCGAAGCTGAAAAGTCCGGAGGACATTTTTTTGGGGGGGTCAGAAGCATGGGAGACCAGGTTGGACAACCCCCTGTAAAACAAAGGAGCAAACCAATGGATAAATGCCCGGAACAGAAACAGGAGTGGCCCTTGCACCAAAAACATCCATGTGAGGGGAACTGGGCGCTTGGTAACTCACATAGTTTGATTGCTTGAGAGGGGAGACACGCATTTGCTATGTTGCTCGCTCATGTTCGAGCTCGTTCGAGCTTTGTGTTGCATTTACTTACATACCCGTAACATGCTTGTGTAGAATGTTGGTTTGATCTCATTGCCTTGTTTTCAGACTTGTTCAAACTAAATTTGAATGACTTGTGACACATTGAATATGTGTTTGTTGTTGTCGGAATTGTGTTCTAACCGTTGAAGTCACCAATGTCTATTTTTGTTTATTTGTGATTGAGTTTGATTGGAACCAGAACAGCGGCTTCGAACCTCTGGTTTCAAACCTGTTTTCAGTCTAAATGCTGATATGGTTCAGGGTGCCCCCCTCCAACAGAAAAGGGAACTTGCCAAAGAGATGGATCCCAGAGACTTGGAGCGGCTAAACCAGATCTAGGATCTGCAAAGTCCTTCCTTCCAAGTTCGGATTGAGGGATGGTTCCATCCCCGTGGTCTTGATATCTTCTCAAGTTCCAACAATTTGAGCGGGTCACATTAAGGCCTATTTTCCGTTGCCTTGTTGCTTGGCTGAAAGACAGGTGCACGAAATGCCAAAGCCAAATTGGTTGAAATTGGAGACAGTCCCAGACCCTGGACCCGCCCCCCCCCCCCCCCGCCGCAAACCCACAAAGCGGTAAATGCGTGAATTGCACTTGGCGTTATTTGGCCTTCGAGCTCCTGAGCTGCCATTCTGCACTGTTGGGGGTTGGTTTGGTGCGGGGTATTATACGATGTTTGATTTGTGGTTAGGTTTTGATTGTCCCTTTTTGGCGCGCAATATGTTCAAGCCGGGCGACAAGCAGAAATCCATATTTCTGGCCTTGCCAAGAGGTGTTGCTGAAATTGACTGCAGGTGTACTCGCCTTTTGGCGGTTGTAAACATTGCCTTGCCAATTTGCAGTGAGTTCGCTTTTGGCGGGGTGATGTTTGAAAGGGAAAGCTGGGAAGCTTACATGGCAAAACTTTTGAGGGTGACTGACTTGAACGGCTGCACAACATGATACGCGACAAGGGTGACTCTAAGTTGTGTTTTCCTATGTGCCGGTTTGGCCCACGCTAGCCAGTCTACCAGGGTTAAAAGAAATAGGATGGAGTTGTGGGGTACTGGCACACTATGAACATGGCATCATGATCATGTATGTGTGTAAGTATTCGGTGTCTTTGTAAGGCATGTATGTGTGTAAGTATTCGGTGTCTTTGTAAGGCAAGGCCTTTGCGCCGGAGCGTGGCTGGAATGAGCCACATAGGAGACAGCGCCTGGTGTCAGGCAAGGGTTTAGGACTCTATTTAAGGGAGGGAGTTGTGAGCCGATTTCTCTCAACTCTTCAGATTGAGCCAAAAGCCCATACTGAAAGATGGCATATCCGGTTGTCTATTCTGAATTCGAAAGGAACGATAGGAACGTGCGTTGAGTAAGGAGAGACCCCTTCTAAGAAGCACCTTTCAAACCTCCTGGTGGATTTGGGGGTCTTTGGCTGGCTGCCCAAGATTTTGTCCACTGTATTATATTGAAACACCTGTCCCATTCTTCCAGCGATCCTTCTTTTCAGACAGGAGAACAGCTTGCTTGACAAAAGAATGACGGTTGAACAGAATGCGGAATCGACCAAACCTGTAGGTCTGTGTGTGTGTGTGTGTCAAGTGGAAGTCCCAAAATTCGGGTTTCCTTCTGAACCCCTTTGAGACCCCAAGGCCACCCTGAAAAAACCCAAATGTAAATGGTTTTGTCTTTTTTGAGGATACCCTTCTTGGTGGTTTTCAAATAAACAACCAAAAGGAAAGCCACCATTTTGGGGGTCCCCTACATGAAAAGACAGACCCAAATATATCTTGGCATTGACCCGATCTCAGGCTCGCCATTGAGCCAGATCGTTTTCGAGCAGTTCAGCAGCGACGGGGTCATGAGCTTCGCACAGTTCAGGCCTTCGAACTTCCGCGGTTTACGCAATTACGGTAAGGGGCCTTACCCAAGGGTCTGAAACCATATCTGCCCTCGTGGTTCTAAACGTCACCTGTGTTGTTTTTTCCAGTTTGTCATCCTATATATAATAGTTTGCATATTGGTGGGGTTCCCTCTGGTTTTGTAAGCACCGCCTTCTCGCCTTGGGATCCCCTCAGAAGTGGGATATCGAGGTCCATTTTTTCTGGGTAGTTTGAGGGTTCAAGTCGTCTTAGTCTCTAAAAAGGTTTGTCGATATGTGTTGTTTCGAGTACACTTGTTGGGCCATTGGGATTGGTTTGAAGGGATCAAAAGAGAAACACGTCTACAGAAGGCATAAGCCCAGGACCTGCCCCTAAAAAGTTCAGGGCTTCAGAAGCACTCTTGCCGCTGGGGAGGGTCCATTTACTCTCTACAAGAACCTGGGGTTCAAACGTGTCAGAACAAGTTTGTGACAAGGACTTGCCAGCAACGACCAAGATTTTCGTGTTTGGGCCGATTTGAAGGGACATGCAGGAGCCCTGTTTGATCGGTTTTCTCAAAGTCAACCGACTAAAAAAAGAGTTACGTGCCATGGCAATAGAACCACCCAACATTTGGGAGTCGACAAAGGCAGTTTCAGCTTCAAACATGTGGGTGCACAACATCCTCCACCAGCGGGGATGCATGAAGCGCTGTGATTACTGGGATAGATAAGCTCCCAGGTTCCGGGAGGTTCAAGGGCAGGGTTTTGGAAGGTGAGGAAGAGAGTCAGGTTGGTGCATCATTTCGTATTCGGTGCAGATGTGTAGCCTTTGGAATGTGTAGTGGCAAAACACAGTGGCTTGCCAATAGTGGAAGTCCTCTTAGAAGGTCCTGGATTCATTTCTGCATAGTACAGAGAATCTGGGTTTGTCTCACAACGGACCATAACATGGGCCCGGTTTCCGCTTGTCCCTTTAGAGCAACCGCAACCAAGGTGCCAACTCCAACAAATAAAGACACACCCCGATGTTGATTCTGAATCCGCCCCACGAATCCGCCAGCAAAGCCGTTAGCATCAAGGGGTCTAAGATCCAAAGGTTGTGGTATTGAGCCTTTCAATCACAGGTTCATGACCCTTGGCGGGTGCATGATCTCCGTGTGAAAAGTCAAGTTGTTCAGTAGCATCAGGATTCTGGCTCATATTTTTTTTGCCACAAGAATGTGTGTTGCAGGGGCGCGGGCCATTTCGTGTTCCCTTTTCAACCAGCAACAATTGTTAACTTGTTGCCCTTGGCAGAGTTGCCAGGCCGGTTTTTTCAGTCTCTCAATCATAGATCATGGGTGGCCCTGAAAAACGTTCATGGGGAAAGCCTAGAACAAGCCCTGAAGATGGCTTGGAGTTAGGTGACGGTTAGTTGGTGCTTTGGATTGCTGGTTTGGATTTGGATTTGAACCCCTGGTCCTTGAAGATCTGGCCCAAACAACTGCCCCCAAGGAAATCAGGGTGTTCTCCTTTTACCGTGCTGGTTATATAGTAGTTGCCCCATGTTTCCTTTGGAGGTAGTGAATTGGGGGGTAGTGGGCACCAGCTTGGGCTGGAGGGGTTAAGGCCATGGACCCCTCTGGTCACCCGCCCATGCTTCTCAGCGGCGGAGTCGATGCCAGGTCGATGTGTCAGGACAAAGGCTTTG